CCCCCCCCGTGCCCGCTCTAACCCTCCCGGCCGCCCCGCGGTCTCGCGGCTTCAAAAGAACAGCCGCGCGCGTGACCTTTTCTGGGCCCGTGACAGGGATACCGTTGGCAGCAGCCGCCCCGGGCGCTTGCCGCTTGTCTCGGCCCGCGCATGCGACGAAGGGCGCCAGCTGGCTGGCTGGCTGGCTGGCTCCATCTGTGCGCCCGGCAGACAGGGCTGGCCGGCGGTGCGCCGCCTTCCCTGCCGCCGGACGCTGTGCATGCGGCACCCCTCCGCATACTGGGCCCAGAGGGAGAAGGGGGCCAGAGACACCCCGAGGCGCGGCCCGGCGACGGGCAGCCACCGGGTCCCGGAGGCGGCGGCCTTTTTCTCGGGCCAAGCCTGGGACCTGGCTAGTCCGGCCAAAGGCCATGCAAGGCTTCTTCCCTCCCTCCTGTTCATCACACCGCACGCGCCTCGCCCTCTCCTCGCGCCTTCCCCTTCCCCTCCCCCTTCCCCCCGGCACCTGTCCCTATCCTCTTTGCGCCATGCAGCAGCCGCCGCCCATGATGATGATGGGTCACCCTCCGGCCCCCCTGCCGGCGGTTACCTCGGTGATCCCCCCCAATCAGACCATTTACATCAACAACCTCAATGAGCGGATCAAGAAGGACGGTGCGTGGTCGGCCTCTCGTGCGGCTGCCCTTTTGGTGCTCTCTCAGCTGCGGCGGCCCATGCCTGGTGGCGGCCCTCCCTCCCGATTATGGCGGTTATGCCACTCCTCACTCACTTCTCCCCTTGGCCGCCGCCCCCCGCTCCTCCCCCCGCTCCTCCCCCCGCTGTAGAGCTCAAGCGCCAGCTGTACAACCTGTTCAGTTGCTACGGGACCGTTCTTGATGTGGTCGCCGGGCGCTCGGTCCGCCAGCGCGGCCAGGCGTTCGTGGTTTTCTCCGAGGTTACCTCCGCCACGGAGGCCATGCGCCATATGAATGGCATGCCTTTCTTCGGTCAGCCGATGGTGCGTGCCGCCGCCTTGCGACGGGTTGTTTTCTCTTTGTGTGTCTGCGCCTCCTGTCTCCCTCTCGTCCTTTTTGTGCGTGCTAAAAGACCGCCCCACCGCATTTGTTTCCGCCGCCATGTACACCCCCCCCCCCTCCGATTGGGCCTGGTCACGCGCACAGCGCATTGCCTTCGCCAAGACCAAGTCCTTCGTGGTTGCCCAGCAGGATGGCTCGTATGCCGAGCTCCGCCACCAGCGCGACGAGGAGCAGAAGCGCCGCCGGGAAGAGGGCGACACCCCGCAGGCCAAGCGCGCCAAGAGTGCGTGTCTTGCCCGCTCCTCTCTTCCCCTTCCGGCGGACTGTTGCTATTGCTGCCGCTTTTTCTTACCCCCCTTTCGGCTTCTCCCCCTTTCCCCCTCTCCTTTTGCCCTCGCTTCCGCGGGTCCACAGGCGAGTCCTCCGGCCGCTCGGTCTCGGCTCCCTCGGCTGCCCTCACCGCCGAGGACCGCAACCTCCTCCCCTACAAGATTCTCTTCGTGCAGAACATCCCGGAGGGTGTCAGCCAGGACGAGCTGGAGAAGCTCTTCAAGCCGTGCGTCTCCCCCCTCCCCCCTTCCTCTCTCTCTCTCTCTCTCTCTCTCTCTCTCTCTCTCATTTTTTGCCTCTCATGGCCCTCCCCCCCTCCCTTGCCTTTCCACTCCGCCACCTGCTCCCGCTGACCCCGGAACGCCTGCCCCCCCCCCCCCGCCGCCGCCGCCCCCCTCTTCCCCCTACTGCCCCTGGCGCTCAGGTATCATGGCTTTGTGGAGGTCCGTGTGGTCCCCTCGCGGCCGGACATTGCCTTCGTCGAGTACGAGAACGAAATGTTCTCCACCTCGGCCATGGAGAAGCTGCAGAACTTTGCCATCACCCCTTCGCATATGATCAAGATCACCTACTCCAAGCAGTAATGGCGCGCGCCGATGTTTTTTTTTCCTCCTTCCCTCCACTTCGTCCGGTCCTCCCTTCCTTGTGTTCGACGGCTGGCTCTTTTGCTCCGACAATCGGGCACCAGCCTCCCCCTCCCTCTCGCGCGAAAATAAAAAACACCTTCCCCTGTCTGGCCCCCTTTTGAAGAGGGAGATTCATGTATCATCATCACGCGCGGCCCTCCGATGTCTCTTGGACCCGGGCACCAGGGGAAGATATTTCGATGTATTTCGCGGTGTGTACCCTCGTCGGGAGGAGGGAGCTGGTGAGGGGATCACGGCGGGCTCTGGGGGGGGGGGGGGAATTTGGAAGGTGAAAGGGCGGGTGGCCGCACGCAGGGAGGTCCTCGCGTGTCGGAGACAAAGGGCAAAAGACCGCGGGCCGGGCCGTGGGCAGGGGGGCCCTCAAGCGCGACGCTGGTTCTTGGGCATGATGAAGAATGACCGGACGATGTACACTTGCAGCAGGGCCAGGCCGATGATGAAAAGGCATTCGATGACCGTGGTCCAGAAGACGCGGCGCTCGGTTTGCACGACGGTGAACATGTTGCGCTGGGTGGGCGGAGAGGGGCGGGGAATTTGCCGGGGGTTAGAGCATGGCACAGGGGGGGGGGGGGGATTCCGCGAGCCGGGGTGCTGGCGTGGCGAGCGTCGGCCGCTGGCGTATATATGTATATATATATATATGTGTGTGTGTGTGTGTGTGTGGGAGCGGGAGCGGGACCGGAGGGAGGGATGCCCCGATGCGCACCTTCTCACGCGTGTGATAGTAGCCCTGGTTCGAGGCGATTCGATCGTACGCGGCGTAGGCCTCCTGGAAGAGCTCGTCAATGGTGTTCAGGGTATTGTGGACAACCTGGTTCGAGGCGTTGGGGTTGCTGGGCGGCGTGGCACGCGGCTTGGGAATGACCGGGGCCGGGCGCATGGCCTCCTCGCCGTTGATGCGGACGTCAAACTTGATGACCTTGTGCGAGAAGGTGGACATCTCGTTGGAAAAGCAGAGGGCATACTCGCCCGGGTCGTCGGCAATGAAGAGGGCCTCGCCATCGGACTCCTTCTTGCCCGAGTGCAGGACTCCCCCGACCGGGTCGCGGATCTCATAGTCGATGTCCATGTCACCGCCGGAGAGGACCTAGCCGCCGAGCGGGGCCACGGTGAGCATGACGTGTGTGTGTGTGTGTGTGTGTGTGTGTGTGTGTGTGTGTGTGTGGGAGAGAGGGAGGGAGGGAGAAAGGGGAGGGGGCGTGTGTCAGGGTGGGGATCTCCGATGGTACATATGTAAGGGTGGAGAGGCCGAGGGAGGGGGGCAACCAAAAGCACACAGGGCGCGAGGATGGGCAGAGGCCGTGGCGCGGCGAACGCACGGAGAAGGTGAACAGCAGACGGTCGTTAGCCACGGCATCCTGGTAGAAGCAGACGGTGTCATGCTGCTCCAGCTCGACGGTGAGGGCGGGGGTCGGCCGAGGGGCTGCCAGCAGACCAAGGACCGCCAGCGCCAGCAGGACCAGACCCGAGCACGACTTCAGTAGGCGGCTCATGGTGGTGATGGTGGTGCGCAAGGGGGAGGGGAGGGGGGGGGGAGGGGCAGCAAGGGAAGGACGGAGAGAGCGGCCAAGAGGGGGGGAAGGGGGGAGGGAGGAGAAGGGAGCTAGAATGTGTTGTTCGGGCTGTCGGTGCAATGCCCTCGCATCAAGGGTGCCCGGTGATCTGCATCCTGCGCTCCCTCTCTCTCTCTCTCTCTCTCTCGTTCTGGCCCGGTCGCGGGAAGAAAGGTAGGCTGGTGGAGCGCCCCCCCTCCCCCCGAGCACGTCTGGGGTGGAGGAGCGCAAGTCACTCCGCGACACATCCTCCCGCCCTTCTCGCCGGCCGCACTGCCCCGCCCCGGTCCATCACCCCCCCGCCCCGCCGGGAACACTAGCTAACACCACGCCGGTGCGGCCACCGGGACTGGCATGCACGCGTCTAATGGCGGCTCGTGCCGGGGGGGGG